ACTCTCAGAGATCAATGCTCCGAGCCCTTGCACAAGCATGGTCCTAGAGCCTGCCGAATCATGCTCTCAGTGCAGACAAGCAAAATTGGGGGCCAGTGGTGCGGTTTGCGAGTTCTTTGCTTATTGGCTTGGCAACCCAAGAAACTCCGTCAAGAATTTGTTGTAGGTGCCTCCCACGGACACATACGCATGGTGTTTTTTCAGGCTCTGAAGCGCTCTCGTGACAGTTTTCACCCTTTCACGCATTTTTTGGACATTTTCCTGGTGACATAAAAAACCTTGCAGTGCCATAAAAAACGCGTGCAGTGCCGTAAAAAAGCGTAGCGCCCAAAACCGCCCCAAATTAGACCACAACACGTTCTAGTTTGCAAGTTTGCTTCGTCTTTTTCTTGGGTTACGTGCCCGTCCAGCAATGGCCAATCGCTTGCAGACCAAATCTCTGAGCTGCAGCAGCCTGTATGCTGGGCAATCTTTCTTGGAGAAAGAGGTCAAGAAGGAATGTGTGAAAGAGAACATAGAGGACGATCTCCGTGTAGCTTATTCGATTTAGACAGGAGATCCTCCAAGAAACTTGTATATCACATCATTATCACGTCCCGGATCTAAGGTGGCTGAGGCGACGCTTAACAGGCTCAGGGACAGGGCGAACAGCCTGCAAGCACGGCAGGCCTCGCCTGTGGTGCCACCGCATGCTGGGAAGTCGTTTGAGGACACTTTGGTGGACCCTGCTCCTGAACTTCGTGAAAGACCTGTTGCCACTCCGGCCCGTGCTTTCCAGTTACAGCATCAAGTCTCGTCTGATGCGCAGCCTACTGAGCAAGTTGTTTGGGACCGAGAGTTTGCAACAACTGATGATGCATCAGCCAACTCAGCCCCTGAACAAGATCGCCAAGAAGCACCTGCTTCTGTGAATGAAAGCGGGCCACATGCTAGTGATGATGATGATGATGATGATGATGATGAGCTTGTCGGAGATGTGGACCCTGAAGCTTGCCCTTGATTAATGTCTTGTACAATACCAAAATGTCTCACACACATGTGTATTCTCTGGTTTCTCTTTACTTGCAGTCGTGTCTCCTGAGGATGATTGGGAGCTGCAGGACATGCTCCGGGCAGCCAGCAACGGCTGGACCAACGAAGCCGGCGCAGTGCCTTGGATGGGGGAGTGATCTCTAAACCCTAAACCCTAAACCCTAAGCCCTGAGCCCTAAGCCCTCAACCCTAAACCCTAAACCCTAAACCTATAAACCCTAAACCCTAATATAAACCTTAACCCTAAACCCTAAACCCTACACCCTAATCCCCCCTAAACCCTAAACCCCCCTAAACCCTATATAAACCCGAAACCCTAAACCCCACATATAAACACACCCCATAAACCCTAAACTTCTTTTATCGCTACTGAGAACCAATGCTTCTGTGAGGAAGCGAACATGAATGAATCTGATGGGCTCATGGAGTGGGATTGGGATGGATATGGTGCAGCGGGCTTGGAAGAGCTGGCTCTTGAGCCGCCTCCGGCACCTGCCTCCATCCCGACAGCAGCACCAGAAGCCCCGAAGCCACACGCACCATCCCCTAAGGCAATCGCAGCACCCCCCACGTTCGCAGCATCGCCCAAGCCAAAGGTGCACACGCAGCAGCCTGCCCTCGCCCCAGAAGATGCAGCGAAGGTTCAGCTGAGCAACACTTCACGAAGCAAGCCAGCCCCGATCGCCTCAGTGTCCCCACAAGGCAGCAAAAAACGTGGCAGCCCAAAGGGTTCTTCCCCCTCTCCCACCCTACCTGATGATTGTTCGGAAACAGAGAGCGAGGACCAGGCTTCATCCCTGTCGACACACACATGTTCTACACTTCACTCATGTTTGTCGCTTCTGCCTTTGTTGGAACGCAGGAGAGGAGCCACAAAAAGAAGCCCATCATCTACGTCACGTCGAAGCAGCTTAGAAACTACGATGCCAAGCTGAGGAGAATGTGCAAGCCTAGTCCGAAACGAGGCACTCTCTCGGTATCCCCAGAAGTTGCGAAGCAGTGGCTGTGCAAGAAGTCGCGAAAGCAGCTGCTGCAGTGCTTGATCACCTCGGAAGGGAATGAGGCAGGGGACGGTTGTTATTGTTAAAGCTTCTATCCCTTGTAGCCAGTATCTTCTGTCAGTGTGCAGGATGTGCACGCATGGCGCATGGTGTGAGGATACTTTCAATGCCAAGATGAGCATCATCATCTCTAGCAAGAAGCAGAACAAGCTGAGCGTCGAAAGTGGCTTCTACTCGGAAAAGGCTATGAAAGACGACCTGGGCTTTGCAAGGCCCCTCAAATGAACAGAATCTGAACCCACCAACTTAATGCGGCCCAGAAATTTCCCACGCTTGCCAGGGAGAGGATCGCTGCTGTGAAGAAGTACTGCGGAGCCACGGCGTCTCGACGCAAGCGGCTGGTGCGGTTGCTCGCCTGCACAAGGTGGTGCTTCATCTGCCCTAAATTTGCCCTAAACCCTAAACCCTACAAACCCTAATACTATACAAACCTAAAGCCCTAAACCCTAAACCCTAAACGCTATAAACCCCATAAACCCTATAATCCCCTAAACCTTTTCTAGACAATCCTAAACCCTAAACTGTCTTGCAGTGAGCATCTGGCTTGGAGGGTGTTTGGCTGGGTCTTTGAGGCGAGACAAATACGAGCGGAAGGTGAAGGAATACTGGGTGGATGTGAAAACAAGTGGCTCCTCCGAGCACGTTGTGGCCGAAGAGGTGCTGCAGGAGTACCAGGTTGTGGACCCCAAGCTGAAGAGCCTGCCAGCCCCTACCTTGGGGAAAAGTCCTCGCCCCGATCTAGATGCGGATGGTGCTTCTTCGGACAGTGAGTCTTGTGATGAGGGTGCTGATGATGATGATGATGATGAGGAGGATGATAAAGAAGCAAGCAGCGAGGATGGCAAGGGCAAAGGCCAGGCCACGACAAGGAAGGCCAAAAGCAAGGCCAAGGAGGACCGAAAAGGCCCATCGAACCGTGGCCTAAAGAGGAAGAGAACAAAGGAAATGGAAGAGGCCCTGGAGGCCGGATCCTATCTAAACCTAACCTATTTTTTATGGTATTATATTGCATTATATATATATATACATATCTATCATATAGTATAATTAATATGATATCATAGAGTATAATAGAATATAATAGAATATAATAGAATAGAATATTATATACAATATTCAGTCTAATCAGAATAACAATATAGCTTCTCAAGTGCTGCAGGAGGTGGAGAACATCGACGAGGCCCTGACGCAGGTGCTCAACCTTTGCACCAGACTGGGCCAGACTATGGAGAAGCTCACTGGACGCGAGGGCAAGGATGCTGAAGAGTTCCCTGGCTCCAACCCACTTTCCTCAACACCGCTTTGTCCTATATCATTGTTTCTCAAGAGTAAGTCTTGGTAAGCTAAGGGCCCTGAACAAAGCGACTGAGCACGAGAAGAAGTTAATGCAGCTCCACGACCATCTCGCGGAGATCAAGTCAGAGCATTCTTCTGGCAAGGTGCCCGACAAGAAGAACCTTGTCTACTGAGTCTACTATCCATGTCACATGCGTTGCTGCCTGCTTCAGCTTCTTTGCGCACTCTTGTACTAAGGACGCAAGATTCCCTGAGAAACTACCTGGCCCAGATCGAGAAGCTGCCCCGAGACTCGTGTTAATGCTGTATATAAACACCCATCATCCCCTGCTTGGCCTGCGTTCAGTCATCTGCCGCGATGTCCGGGCATTGAAGACGACTTAGCTGAGGTCCAGCCGAATCACATTGGAAGACCGCAAGATCAAACGGAAGCTCGCTCGCTTTAGGGTTTTAGGGTTTAAGGTTTATAAGGTTTAGGGTTTAGGTTTTAGGGTTTAGGGTTTGGGGTTTTTTGGGTTTAGGGTTTAGGGTTTATATAGGGTCTAGGGTTTAGGGTTTATTTGGGGTTTACTATTAGGGTTTAGGGTTTATAGGGTTTAGGGTTATAAGGGTTAAACTTTTGTAAAAGGTTTAGGGTTTATAGGGTTTATAGGGTTTAGGGCTCTTGTGTGGACTCAAGGACCGTTCTCCGAGCGAGGAAAGGCGCCCCCAAGCCCAAGGCGAAGGGGAAGCCCAATGTAAGTGCGAAGGCAAAGGCCAAGCCTGCAGTAGTTCAAGTTGAAGAAGAGTCCGAAGAATCAGACCCTGAGCCCCCTGCCGTCCCAAAGAGGAAGCCCAAGGCTAAGGCAAAGAGTGCTAGCAAGAAGGCAGCTGGCAAGAAGTGAATATCGCATATTTGTTCCAGTTCTACACAAGCTGCTCGTAGCTACCGTGCTCTCCATCAAAGGCCACACCTTCTCACCGCTAGCGTTTTTTTGGCGCTTGTGGTTGCAAGGAACGCAATGCGCAAGTTAGTTTGCTACATTGCAGGATTGCTGGGGTTGTGATCCTGCTTTCGGCCCCTCGATCTGTCTGCTCTCGAGACAAAAGACCCGAGACTGAATCGCCAACACGATTGCCAGCCCACCTTAATAAAAGATCCAGAAATAACATGCTGCGAAGGTGCTTTGGCCCATGTCCGCAAAGATGCAGGGAAGCCGGGCGCTGCCTCAAAGGCGTTGGCCAAAGCGCGAGGATCAGGGGTGTCTTGGGTGTATACGTTGAGCGCCGCTGCTGTTTTGTAAACCCTACCCTAAACCCTAAGCCCCAGCAAGCCGAACGCACACGATCCTTGTTTTTCATCTTAAAGAAAATATACCACTGAAGGTCTCCGATCGGTTGCTTTGCCAGTTGGCTTCTGGTTTCTACAAAGAATGTCTCGCGGCAGACCCAGATGTTGCGGATACTTTGGCTAGCTCTTCGTTATTGGGGGAGCTCCATCGGCACTCTCAGACAAAACATGAGAACAATTCTGCGAAAGCGTTTCGAAAGCGGGGCCTTTCTTGCCCTATCACAACTGATATGGTGGAAATCTGTTTGAAGAAACCTCATCCTATGCTGAGGGTGGGGAACATGCTGCGAGTTCTCGCGTTGCATGGCAAGCTCCCGGCCCTGTGGGGAGGCAACCAGAGTGCCGTCGAGGTGCTTGCCAAATTTTGGCGTCGATTCCGCCAGCTGCACCCGTCGCACGCCATCTACACATACCACAAGAATCGGTTACATCAGGTGCTACCTCTGATGCTGCATGCTGATGAAGGGGAGACGTTGAAAAAGGCAGGCCTCATGGTGATTTCGTGGCAATCACCTGTGGGTGCGGGGACCTCTCAACTATGTTGGCAGCTCGTTCAAAACAAGGTTTTTGATATCAGTGCTTCTAAAGAGGCTCTATACGAAGCAGGTTAAGGAATCTTTAGACAGCCTCATGTCAATCATCGCAACTGACCTGAAGCAGCTCTTCGAGCAAGGGCTGCGGCTTGACTTTCCAGATGGCAAGCATCAACACTATTATGTTGCCTGGGTCGGCCTCAAAGGCGACTGGCCGATCCAGCAGAAGCTAGGCCATCTCCAACGTCATTTCTCGAGACTGACAACGAACGAGCAGGTTGGCGTTGGGATATGTCATTTGTGTGAGGCGGGACGACCTGGTGTCCCCCTACACGACTTCTCGGAACATGCAGCTTGGAGAACAACATTCTTGCGAACGTCGCCGTTTGAAACGATGGGACCTTTGGCTGACGTGCCACAGACGGCGAGCCCAGAGATGATGCTTCGGTATGATCCATTTCATACCTTGCACAAGGGCTGTTTTGCCGAGTTAGCCGGGAGTGGTCTTGTGTTCTGTCGAAAATCTCCATCCTTATGTTTCTTTTTGTATTCTTTAGCTGCAGAATTTTGAACAAAGAGTTTGTACACAACAGAGGTCATGATCATTGACTATGGGATCCTGGGGGACGATTCTGTTCCAAAGCAGCTGAACTCGCTCTACCAGCTGCTGCAAGAATTCTGCACGCGAACGAAGCATCCGCTGCACATGGATGGTCTGACTCGAAACCTACTGAACTTTCCGAGGGACTCCTCCTACCCAGTTGGGCTTCTTGGTTAGCGTGATGTTTTTTTTGTTTTTTACTTGGGTTCGGTTTGTGCCAAATGTTTTCTATTGGCCCCAATGTTTCCAAGGAGCTGGTTCAAGGCTGCAGACACCACTGCCGTCCTGGCTTTCTTAGAAGAATTCTTCCGGAACCATTTGGCTACTTTGGCAAATCCTGATCCATACTTGGAGAGTGCGCACGATGCCTGCGTCAACGCCAACATCTTCCTACGCACCTTGTATCGAAACGGGCTTTGGCTGCCTCTCCAGGCTACCACAGAGGTCGCCCAGTCCGGCTACAACTTCTTGCGATGCTATGCTGAATGTGCCCAGCACGCGTACAATCAGGGAAAAACCCGATACAAGCTACAGCCAAAATATCACACAATGATTCACTTTGCGGATTTCTACGGTACAGCTGCAAGGTCTCGACAGCGATTCACGTGGAACATTCTGGCTGATGGATGCCAGATGGACGAAGACCTGGTGGGTAAGGTGGCTACGCTTTCTCGTGCTGTCAATGTGCGTAGTGTTCACACAGACACGGTGTCTCGTTACCTGCTGAAGCTGTGGGAAGAGCCGTGAAAAAGTTAGCCCCGACCCATCCTGTAGATTTCTCTTGAATAAATCGGGCACTGGTTCCGGGTCTTGTGTTGGTGCCACACATTTCGGTGCAGTGCCCCCTGTGCCCGTTATAAACGACAACTTGGTTTTCCAGGTAGGGTTTAGGGTCCCACTAAAACGCTCCGAATTGTTCTAGGAATAGCCCCAAACCCCAAACCCTAAACCCTGAACCCTAAGCCCCTTCGCCAGCAAGGTGCAGCTAAAGCAGGCGCTGCACGTGTTCTACTTCGAAGGCAGGGTGGGAGCCGGCAAGATGTCCTGGCACCAGCTCTGCAGCTCAACTTGAGCCAAGAGTGCAGGTTTAGGGTTCAGGGTTTATGTAGGGTTTGGGGTTTGGGGTTTAGGGTTCAGGGTTTCGGGTTTTGGGTTGAGGGTTTAGGGTTTAGGCCTACCCTAAGCCCTAAACCCTAGACCCTAAACCCTAAACCCTAGACCCTAAACCCTAAACCCTAAACCCTAAACCCTATGAACCAAAACAAACAAAAGCACCAAGGCAACCACGAGGCCAAGGAGCGGGCCCGTAAGGGCAGTGGCCTGGGCGCTTCGCAAACTGCTGAGGTGGCTCAGGGGTTTAAGGAGGGACTCCTAAAGTGACCCTGAATCTATATACCTTATATAGTCCCTACAAACCTAAGTAGCCCGTACATAACCACCCAAAATTTAGGGGCCTCCGGCTCAGGCCACCGACCCAAGAGGCCCTAAACCTCTCAACACCCAAATCCACCAAAAAAACTCTGCAAGTTGTTTTGGGGGCAAGTGTCTTGGCCTGCCTGCTGTTTTTGGGGTGAGGGTGGAGGGGGGGGGTGGGGGGTGGGGGGCCGGGGCGGGGGGGGGGGGGGGGGGGGGACCATCCAACACGCCGCCAGCCCCAAATCCCAAACCCCAACCCCTAAACTCTAAACCCTAAACCCTCAGTCCCTGAAGGTGGCCTACCTGGAGGCCTTGCGCCTCAGATACCTTGAGCCTCAGGCTGCTTTTACTATGGCTGTGTAGGGTTTCGGGTTTAGGGTTTAGGGTTTAGGGTTTAGGGTTTAGGGTTTAGCGTTTGGAAGGCTTGGGGGTTAGGAGTTTTGACGGTTAGGGTGTGCAGGGTTCAGGGTCTAGGGTCTTGTATGCCAGGGTAGGCACAAAGAGCCGAACCCTAAACCCCAAATCCACGGCAATCGCTCGATTACGATGATCCCAAACTGCTCTTGCAGGAACCTCGCTTCTTCCCAGGATATCGGGGGCAACCTAGCCTAAACCCGAAGCCCGAAACCCGAAACCCGAAACCCTCAACCCTCAACCCTCAACCCTAAACCCTAAACCCTAAACCCTAAGCAAGTTGAACCCCAGGAGCACGACATCTCGGAGTTCAAGACTTTCATGGCTCCGGCTGAGCCCGGCTAAGTCTTCGTGTAGTTTTCCCATGGGTTCCCCTACTACCCCATAGGGTTTGGGGCTTGGGGTTTAGGGTTTAGGGCTACTACCCGCCTCGATACTAGCCCCCCTAGCTTCCCCAAATAATTATGTAGAGTGGGGGTAGTACGGAGCCCATGATTTCCCTGGGGACCAGAAAAGAACCGTTTATGTGAGGGTTTAGGGCTTGAGGTGTAAGATTTAGGGCTTAAGGTTTGGGGCTCTAGGGTTTGTGGTTTAGGGTTGAAGGTTTAGGGTTTAGGGTTTAGGGTTTAGGGTTTAGGGTTTAGGGTTTAGGGTTTAGGGTTTAGGGTTTAGGGTTTTGCAGCCCAGCTGGTAAGCTTTTACACTCTTGTCGGTACATGAAGAGCTCACGAAAGGCACAGTGTCAACTTGTTTGTGTCTGGCTACTGGACACCTAAGCCTAAACCCTAAACCCTAAACCCTAAACCCTAAACCCTAAACCCTAAACCCTAAACCCTAAACCCTAAGCTTGCGGTCCTCAGGCTCTAACGTCTTGCAGTGGCTGTTTCTCATTGCAGCTTTCCGGGGCTCATCTGATCCCCAAGGTGCGCAGCCCCTGAGCTCGCCCCAAGCCTTAGGGGTCAGAGTTTAGGGTTTAGGGTTTAGGGTTTAGGGTTTAGGGTTTAGGGTTTAGGGTTTAGGGTTTAGGGTTTAGGGTTTAGGGTTTAGGGTTTAGGGTTTAGGGTCCCGTAGAAACCCCCCCACCCTGTTTATGCTGCATCTTGCCGCCGGCAGTTTCGAAAATGGAGCAGGCTCTTCCATTTAGGGGCCGTTCGCTAAATTCGGCACCCTTTCCAGGGTTTCTTCCTTAAGGACTCCCGAGTATAGGGACTCCTGAAACCCTCTTCGACCTAAACCCTAAACCCTAAAGCCCATCCCCTGAACCCAGTCCCCTAAACCCTAGCCTGTTGTTTATTTAGGCTGTAGCCTCGGAGGCTTTCAGGGGTTTAGGGTTTAAGGTTTAGGGCCAACGTTTATGGTATTCAGGACGCCAGTCTAGAGTGTAGGATTTACGCTTTGGGGTTGGGTTTAGGGTTTAGGGTTTAGGGTTTAGGGTTTAGGGTTTAGGGCTTAGGGTTTAGGGTTTAGGGTTTAGGGTTCAGGGTTCAGGGCTTAGGGTTTAGGGTTTAGGGCTTAGGGTTTAGGGTTTAGGGTTTAGGGTTCAGGGTTCAGGGTTCAGGGTTTAGGGTTTAGGGTTTAGGGTTTAGGGTTTAGGGTTAGGGTTCAGGGTTCAGGGTTTAGGGTTTAGGGTTTAGGGAAGGAGGCCGCTTGGCCAGCCTTCGTTGGAACCCGGACGCCGCCGAAGCCCCTGAACTCCCTGAGGCCCTAAACGCGTTTAGGGCTCTGGGGGGTTTAGGGTTTAGGGTTTAGGGCTTAGGGCTTAGGGCTTAGGGCTTAGGGTTTAGGGGTCTAAGGGTCTCAGGGTCTCAGGGTCTAAGGGGACCCCTTACATACCCCTGTGTATCTACCCATAAAACCCCAGGGCCCATACTTCAGAACTCTTTACAGAAACTAAGGGACCACATCAAGGGACCGGACCACGTAACTTCCCTAAGCATACACCCTAAACCCTAAACCCTAAACCCTAAACCCTAAACCCTAAACCCTAAACCTTAAGGAACCATGTAACTGCCCTGAGACTCATGCTTCGAGTGCGAAAGCATTTAGAGAGGCCCTAAACCCTATAAACTCTAAACCCTAAACCCTAAACTCTAAACCCTAAACCCGAAACCCTAAACCCTAAACCCTAAACCCTAAACCCTAAACCCTAAACCCTAAACCCTAAACCTCATCCGCTTGATATCAAAGACATGCTCGGAGTTGCCACCTTGGGTTGGGTTCAGAGGAGCAAACTAGAGGGCATCGGCCTTTTGAGTGTTCAGGGTTTCCTAAGCTCTAAACCCTAAAGCCTAAACCCTAAACCCTAAACCCCCTTCAGCCCCACCCTGTGTAGGGTTGAGGGTTTAGGGTTACGACTTTAGGCCTAGGTTCTCAGGAGGTTTGCACCCTTTGGGCTACGAGGCTCATTGCAAGCCTTCCCCGTCTAGGACAGCCTGAGGCCTCCTCACCCTAAACCCCATACCGCAAACCTTACACCCTAAACCCCAAACCCTAAACCCCAAACCTTAAGCCCTAAACCCTAAACCCCCAAACCCAAAGATCCCTCCGAAGGACCTCATCATGGACCTGGTGCGCGCCAAGGCCCGCGTCACGGACGCGCCCTCCGAGGCTCCGAGCTCTTTCTAGGCCCTTTTAGGGCCTTATGGGGTTTGGGGTTTAGGGTTTAGGGTTTGGGGTTTGGGGTTTAGGGTTTGCGGTTTAGGGTTTAGGGTTTAGGGTTTAGGGTTTATGGAGGGGTGCAAATACTTCTCGTTACCACGTATCATTGCGCATGGCGCATGACGACAAAAAGTGTATCTCACGACTTTCCTTGGATTGATGTAAATCCGGTTCGTCTTTGTTTATTCTTTGGACTTGCAAGATCAGCTGAAGGACGTGTAGCAGCTTCAAGCTACCCGCACGGCTGTTGCTGCCATTCTGGGTTCTGGGTCCGCACCTCCGTAGGGGCTAGGGATGTTCCAGGATGCTTGGGCTGGGGGGGTGGTTGGGGAGTTTTTCTGGGTGCAGTCTCGTGTTTGGGGCTAAGGGTCTCTGGAGCTTCTGGAGTTTGCTCGGAAGATTCAAGAGGCCGTGGTGAAAACGAGTCGAAACGTCTTCAAACCCGGGAGGTCAGAGCTCCGTTTTGGCTCACTGGAGTTTCAAAGTGGAGTTTCAATCCCCAGTCCGCAACGTAGAGCATGCGCTCATCTGTCGAAGCGCGATGAAGGTGGCTTTGGTGCTTTTGCTCCCCTTGGTGGCTTCGGCCCTTCGTCACCGAAGGGGTGCCAAGTCGAAGAGGCCTTCGCTGGAGGAAATCCTGGGTTTGACAGGCCCGAGGGACGATGGCCACTGCCAGAACAAGGGTAGGCCCTGGACGAAGCAGTTCTGTGGCGTGCCAAGCTCGAGTTTGAGCAAGAGCAAGGTGATTGACTTCAGTCATGTCCACGAGCCTGGCATCTGCAGCCAGTTCAGCCAGGACCGCTACCTCAATGCTATCTTCAAGGCCATCGGAACCACCAACACCTACTTCGTGGAGTTCGGCAGCCGCCGCCCCGAAGTCCTGAACTCGGCCCACTTCCGCTTGAACTGTGGCTACATCCCCCTTGGGAAGTATTTTTCATTTTTGTTTATATAAAAAAACCCAAAGGAAGTATTAAAAACAATATGCTTATTAAGCGTCAAAGGGGAGTGTAGGTGGCTGGAAGGGCCTGCTCCTGGATGGTGCCCCCGGATCCTCGCCCAACGGAGGCTGCCCTTCTTGCCCTGGACAAGATCTGATCCAGGAACCCGACGATGCCCCGGTGCGCCTGCGACAGGCATTCCTGACGGTGGAGAACATCAATGAGAAATTCCAGATGCATAAGGTGCCGTGTGAGTTTGATCTCCTCACGGTTGACGTGGACTGGAATGATTACTGGCTCGTCAAGGCCCTGGACTTTGGCCGCTTCCAGCCACGCGTGGTGGCCATCGAGTTCAGCAGCTACTTCAGGGGCTCCGAGAAGCAGGTGCGCTCGTACCAGTCCGATGGCGTTTGGGCTGGGATGGGAGAGGTCAGCGGCGCCTCCTTGGCCGCGTTGGACGCCCTGATGCAGGCCAAAGGCTACAAGCTTGTCGCTCAGGTGGCCGGCGAGCATGGCATTTGGGTTTCGGCCAAGGAGATGAACCCGGACGACCATGCCATGAAGATTCCCGAGATTATCTCAGAGGGTTGGCAGTTTGACCTTCGACGAAAGGGTGCAGGAGCACCAGGCTTCGAGGAGGTTGCTTGGCTTTCTTCTGGCTGGCTCTTAGGGCTTTAGCCTTTTGGGGTTTGGTAGAAACTACAAGAAAGAGCCTAACAGTTAAGCTTTTAGGAGGGGTCCAGAAGTCAGCCAAGGTTATCGATCCTTGTGAGGATTTCGGCTGCCAAGAGAAAGCCAGCTCCTGCGACGAGGGTGGCGGCTGTGCTCACATAATATAGGGTCGGAAGAATTACTAGTAACAATCCCTTGTTGTCCCTTTATTAGTATACTTTCACAACCCCCAAAGCCCCATTCTAATTATTCAAGCCCGTGTTGTAGCTGCAAGCAAAGGAAGTGATGAGTCCAACCTCGCCGAATCTTCACAGCCAACTGCAAACCAGGGCGATGAGAATTCCAACAAAGGCGATGGTGATCCCACCCTCGCGGACTCTTCTCAGTATGCTGCAAGCGAAGACGATGATGATGATGATGATGATGATGGTGATGATGATGATGAAGATGGTGATGAGGATGCATAAATTGAGACATCTGCTTGACCGCTCGAAAAAGCACCATTCGTCTGAGGTTCTGTTTTGAGCTTGTTGAATAAGGACTTTGGGTTTATGGGTGTCAAGAAGTACTTGGAGGTTCAATGGTACTTATTCACCAACTACTATAGCTGTACGTATAGCGGTGCTTATAACCATATTTGGCACTTAAGGGGCTTATAAGTACAGTTACAAGTACAGTTCTAATTGGTTGGTGAGTACCACGAACCTCAAAGTAGGGAGGCGAGTAACACAAGGCTGCAACTAGAGATAACAGCAACTTTCCACCTGAATCCAAAGTCCTTCGGGAAGCGGCTGCGGCCGCCGCGACCGCAGATGCCTGAACCCTAGACCCTAAACCCTAGACCCTACACCCCAACCCTAAACCCTAAACCCCAAACCCTAAACCCTAAGAGCCGAATTGTCAGTCGCGACGAGTCTGGGGGGGGGGGTGTAAGGAGGGGACAAAAAGGGCCTCCGAAACCCATCCAACACGCCGCCAAGGTCGGCGGATACTACTAATATGGGGGTTGCCGAAAATGGGGGGGGGGGGGGGGGGCGGGGTACCTTTTTGGATAAGGGGATCCTACTATTGGGGGTCTATAGTGGGGGTCCCCTATTCCTTGTCCTAAACCCTAAACCCCAAACCTTAAACCCTAAACCCTAAATCCTAAACCCGGCACCTTGGTCGGCAGCGACGCTCGCTGGTGTCACTCGAGGGGTCACACCCTTCGACGAACTTGTGAGATCGAGGCTTGAAAGCCTCGTTGGCCAGTGCAAACCCTAAACCCTAAACCCTAGACCCTAAACCCTAAACCCTAAACCCTAAACCCTAAACCCTAAACCCTAAACCCTAAACCCGAAAGTGCATCAGATGCCGAACTTGCGGCTTTTGGGGTTTAGGGTTTCGGGTTTAGGGTCTAAGCTTTATGGCTTTTTTTCCGGGTTTATCTAGGGTTCATGTGATTTAGGGTTTAGGGTTTAGGGTTTAGGTTTTGTAGGGTTTAGGTTTTGTGGGGTTTAGGGCTTACGGTTTAGGGTTTGGGGTTTGTAAGGTTTGGGGTTTAGGGTTTAGGGTTTAAGGTTTAGGGTTTAGGGTTTAGGGTTTAGGTCTTGTGGGGTTTAGGGTTTATTGGGCTTAGGGAAGCTTGTGGGACTTAGAGTCGACTTGGGGTTCATGAGGTTTAGGGTGTTTTTTTCTGGGATTTAGGGTTTAGGGTTCAGGGTTCAGGGTTTAGGGTTTAGGGTTTAGGGTTTAGGGTTTAGGGCTAGGACTCATGGGGTTTAGGGTTCAGCGTGTATGGATTTGGAGTTTAGGTTTTATGGGATTTGGGGTTTCTGGTTTAGGGTTTACTTAGGGTTTATGGGATTCGGGTTTTGATTTTGGGATTTCAGGGTTTAGAGTGTAGGGTCTCTGGGGCTTTGCTGCACCGAATAAGGTTGGGGTTGAGGGGGCTTGGGGGTTGTTCAAAATCACATCCTGCAGAACCCTGAAGCCACCCTCAACCCGAAACCCCAAACCCTAAACCCTCAACCCTAAACCCCAAGCCCTAAACACTAAACCCGGAACCCTAAACCCTAAACCCTAAACCCTAAACCCTAAACCCTAAACCCTAAACCCTAAACCCTAAACCCTAAACCCTAAACCCTAAACCCTATATATATATATATATATATTAGTATATATATATATATATACCCTATAATCCCTAAAACCCTGAAAGCCCACCCACGGAGGCCGGCGGCTCCCTCATCCTGGATGCCCTGAATCTGAGTGGCCGCTGGGCAAGCAGACTCTACAGCTGCTAGGGTTTAGGGTTTAGGGTTTAGGGTTTAGGGTTTAGGGTTTAGGGTTTAGGGTTTAGGGTTTAGGGTTTAGGGTTTGGGGTTTGGGGTTTGGGGTTTAGGGTTTAGGGTTTAGGGTTTAGGGCTTAGGGTTTAGGGTTTAGGGTTTAGGTAGGGCTCTTTTTACTGTTGGAGAACTATACTTTAATACTTTGTTTGGTTCTGGGTTTCTCTTGTCGCAACTTCTACCTAGAAAGTATATGTTTTCTCAGATTCTACTCCAAAGCAGGGTCTTTGTTTCCTCCAAAGAGAAACCCCATACCTTTAGAACTCAGAACCTACTGTTTCCTGGGCCATTAGTCTACACACCCCCTGTGGGGCTCGTTTTTTTAGCCTAGCAACACTTCAGGGTTCTTAATGTAAACGCTAGCGGATGTTCCACGCCTTACCCCTTGAGTGATCTTCGGACCTCTGTCATGTGGGCCGGAATTTATGGTTTTCAGAGTTTCGGGCTTAGGGTTTAGGATTTAGGGTTTAGGGCTTTGGGCAACTTGGAACCAAACACCTCACCTTGTTTAGGCTTCATTGGGGTGTTCAGGGGCTGAGAACGGATCTATACGGCGTGCGGGGCCTTTCGTGCCTAGATAGGGCTTACACGGCGGTTTTCAGGGTTTACGGAGGTGTGCTTCGGGTTTATGGTGGTGGAGGGGGTTTAAGAAGGAAAACCAGAGCATGCTAAAGCTCTGAAGTGTTGCCGCGCAGCTGAGCTGCCCCATGCGCTTCAAAACTAGCTTCAGGTTAGAAAAAGCCGTACCTATCTAGGACAACACGCTTTCAGGGAGCAATTTTGCATTTATTCCTGAGCCCGACCTCTACAGTCTCTCGCGCAGTTCCATTGTTGGCTTCCTTAGGGTTGTCTCTACAGGGGCTGGAGAATGTATGCGACCGCCCCGCTTTCTCGCCCATTCCCCAACAGAGAGTCTCTCGGTGATCCCTCGCCTGTGGGTACTTGGAGGTTCATGGGTACTTATAACCCCAAATATAAGTCCACGTATCACCTACTTAGAGGAATTGGGGGGGGCTTAGGGGGCTTTTATAAGTATACTTATAAGTTATAATTGGGGTTATTAGTACCCTGAACTTCCAAGTGTGCCAGGCAGCATGCAACCGGTGTTGACAACGCTGCTGAGCTGCACTCATGGCATGCCGCCGCGCGTGCTCTGAGGACTTAAGCCCCTGAACCTTAGTCCCCGTCAGCTATGGTTGGTATAGCAGGGGGCTTCAAGCACCTCACCCCCAAAAACCCGGGTATCTCTGACACATTGCATCTTGGTTATTCGTTGAGGGTACCCCACCAGGCGCGAGCAACTTGAAGTAGCTTGCGCTTTCAATGCCTTTTCGATTTGGGGCTCGGCATTTTGATTTTTTTGTGGGGTTCGCGAGCTTGCCAGCACGACTCTCAGGTGTCGCGTTTTGGGTTTAGGTCCCCAGTGACTTTACCTACTTCCTTTCAGCACACTGCCACACAACTACCACGATCACGGAGAAGCAACATGAACCCCATCGGAAGGGCATCGACGGCAGATTCACTAGCCAGGGGGGGCAGCATCAAGCAACATGTGCGCATGCATCGCTAGACTCAGTCCCTACATGCTTCAGCTCTGAAGTGGTATCACCCTCAGCCCTAAACTTGGCCCACCCTAAACCCCAAACCATAAAACCTGCAACCCCTCAAGCCCCACAACCCCCAAAGCCCCAAAAATTGGCCGCAAAATGCAGCCCGAAAAGCACTAGACTATTCATAAGCCTAAAGCCCTACAAAACCCGAAGCCCTGAAAGAGCGAACAAAACACCCCAAAAGCCCCAAACCCTAAACCCCAAAGGCTTCTGGAGCTTCGCGCGCTTCCAGATCAGGGTGTGGATGACCGGGGTCGGCCGCCTGTGCGCTCCGACTGATGGGTTTTAAGCGTATGGCTGAGGGTTTAGGGTTTAGGGTTTAGGCTTTAAGGTTTAGGGTTTAGGGCCTTTTTCGTTTAGGGTTTAGGGTTTAGGCTTTGAGGTTTAGGATTTAGGGCCTTTTTCGGGCTTGAAAAGCCGGGCTTTCAGGGTTTAGGGGCTTAAGTTGGGTCTAGCCCTAAACCCTATGCCTTACACCCTAAGTCCTAAACCCTAAGAAGTAAAAAACCCTAAGTCCTAAACCCTAAGCCCTAAACCCTGAAGCGGGTAAACCCTGAGCTTACTGGTGCGTCTTCGCGGTCTCCTTTAGGCAACTCCAAGTTTAGGATTTAGGGTTTGGTGTTTAGGGTTTAGGGTTTCGGGTTTAGGGTTTAGGGTTCTGAAACCTGCAGCCCTACACCCCAAAGCAGACTTGAGGCCTTAGGGTTTGGGGTTTAGGGTTTGGGGTTTAGGGTTAGGGTTCCTATGCCTTACACCCCTACACCTCAAAGCAGCCTTGAGGCTCGTGCCGTGGTACTTTACTGGTTTACTGGGCTTCTTAATCTACTAAGTGCAGCCAAGTCTCGTGGCCCCCAAAAGAGTAGAATCCCCTTATAATCAGGACCCCAAGAAGGTACCCTTAATATCGTAAAACCCCCACTTGAGGCTTAGGGTTAGGGCTCAGGGTTTATTAGGAGTTAGGGTCTGGGGTCTAGGGTTTCGGGTTTAGGGTTCTAAAACCTGAACCCCCCAAAAATCTCAAAAAACAGGCTTGAGGGTAGGATCCCCTTATAATAAGGACCCCAATTTGGTACGGTACCCTTCATATCCTAAACCACCACTTGGGGCTCATCTACTAAGCCCAAAACCCTAAACCCCAAACCCCAAACCCCAAACCCTAAACCCACAAAAACCCTCAAAAAAACAGACTTTCAGGCTCGTGGCCGTGGTACTTTACTGTAACCTTAGGTCCTTAGCCTTCTTGGGCTTATTGGATTTCTTAATCACTGAGTGCAGCCAAGTCTCGTGGCCCCTAAACCCTAAACCCTAAACCCTGAACCCTAAACCCTAAACCCTAAACCCTAAACCCTAAACCCTAAACCCCCACTTGAGGCTCGTGGCCGTGGATGGCCGCATGACCTTTGCCATCAACGCGCTGCTGTCGGCGAAGGCCTCGGCCACGGCGGTGGACCGAGCCTGGACTTGCAGTTGCGTTTTTGAATGGCACCAGTTTGTTTAGGGTTTTGGGTTTAGGGTTTAGGGTTTAGGGT